ATTCCAACTTTTTGTGGTTCACATACGATATATGACTAGCAATGGGCTGGGCGGCACATGACCTGACCTAACTCTAAAAAACTGGGGCTGAGCCTGGGTTTGCACCGCGACATGTCTGGCCTAGCTAGGCCAGTTTTTTTTTTTTTTTATTTAACTTTTCTTTGTATTTTATTAGGTCAGTCTTGGACCGGTTCAAACTTGGATTAGGCCTAGTTTGGGTTGGGCTGGGCCAAGTTACAGCCTACTCTATAGGAAGACTAGGGCCAGGCTTGGGCCATGGTCACTAGGCCCAGGCTTAGCCTATTGCCTAGCCCTAGGGTTAGTTGCAGGAATGCTTTGAAATTGTAAGAAACCATAAACTCATTAGAAATTTAAACTCAGCTATAGCAAAGATAACATCACCCAATGTGATAAAATTGAAATGTTGGCCTAATTTGGTTAGAACTTTCATTACTATTGCTATTTGAGTGGCACGCTATGGAATCCCGGAACAAAGAAGGGGGGTAGTTTAGATATCTAAATGTAGTTGAGGGGCAATTTGATCACATCAATTATGGACTTGTACCATGTTTGGTGAAGGTGGGGAAAGACCAGTTTTTCACTTAGGGTTTTATTAATGGAGAAAGCTTGTGGCGACAGCAAATGAGGTAAGGAGGTAGGAAAATGAAACCCTAACACTTGGAAGAAATAGGGAGCCCTTTTTAGGGCTCCCCTTATTGACCATGCGCATGGGGTGACATCACATAGGCAAGTAAAAATAATGTGTGTGGGGAGAACCTTGTGACCTAAGTCATAAGAAAAAATGCCTTAGAGAGATATAAATTAAGACAAGGAGAAAGAGGACAATTCAACAAAACAGTTGCCATTGACGCGTTCCAAGGGGGCTCTCCCAGTGTCAATTAAAATGGCAAGGTTTGGTGTGAAGGGGAACATTATTTTGGGTTCTTAATAAACAAGAAGAGAAGAAACATATATTTTAGGGATTAGACTAAAGATAGAATGGTGCGTCATGAATGAGAAAGAATGTCTGGGCCACAAGGGTGGTGGGCGTAGGTCTCTTTCTGATTGTCTTTCCGTGAAACATTGTGTCTTTCTGCTTTATACTGCCACTTTGAGGTGGATTTTCATTTGTTTTCGTGTCTTGAAGGCTCCTTTGTTTGGATCAGTGTTTGCAAACTCCGCCGTCCAACTCAGAACCGGCCGGTCAAACTGGGAACAGGGCACTGGTTGATCCAATTTTAGTCGGTTTTGGTGGTTTGGCTGTGTATTTTTTATAAAATTAAAAATTATATATAAAATCCCAAAAAATAAGGAATTGTTTGTTATGTGTCTTCAAATGCTTTTTATCATTTTTGGCAAAGATTGGAAAGTTTATATCTTTTTTTTTTTTAGAAAATTTGAAAATACCCCGGAGGATAAATCATATTTTGACGATCCATGTTTTCGCTATTTTTCAATTTCATTTGGATGTGCTTTATTTAGTCATGCCTTAAATATAATTTTTATAATTTTTAGATTTTTTTGTATTTTTTTGTAGTTTTTAACACTTCTTGGATCGGCCGAGACGTGCCCAGTTAAGCCAGTTTACCGGTTTGGTTCTTCAAACATTTGTTTGGGTGGTAGCTTTTGAGGATTCAGCTTAGTTAGTCGGTCTCAAAAGGTTGCAACATCAGAAACCAAAACCATGGGAGCCGGCTGAGTATCACCTGTTCCCAAAAATTTATTTATGGGTTTTTTAAGGACTGGGCATAGTCTATGTCTGCCCACTCCAAATCCGAGATTCTGGACTCGAGATCGAAAACCTGGGGAGTCCTAATCGGAATCCTTGTTTTAAATAGCTGTTTGGATGAGATGGGAGAAGAATTGGGATTTCCAGGTGGTGCTTGGCTGAGAAGATTTGGGATTTCTTGAGGGTGCTTCGCTGAGAAGTTTAGGGTTTTTAGTCACTGTTCTCTTCAAGGTGGTGCTTGGTTGAGAAGAAATGAAGGAAGATACATAGGCCATGTGGCTCTACTATAGATTCCTTCAATCACCTTCCTTAATAAATAAAATATCTGCTTAATCTATTCTCATTATGTATTCTATATCAAAAATAGCCAAAATCCCATCCTCATGCATCACGTACCTATTGTAAAATGAGAAAAGAAATACTTAATGCTATTCTTTATTGTGGTTTCTATAACTAATCACGGATTACTGGGCTAAACAATTAGGGAATATCCAATAATTTATCTTTTTAGATAATAAGATAATTAATTGGTGGTTTTCAACAAACGGTGAAATGATTGAGGGCCAAATAAATTAACATATTTTACAAAAGGTGTTCCTCAGTAAATCATCCCAAATCCAGAGGGCACTCCAAGTAATGGAAACGTTACTTTGGGGATTTGGGTTTATTGTAAAAAAATCTAGAATATATTTGAGAGAATTTGGTATCTCCTAGCATACCTTGTGCATTAATTGAAAAACCTTTTTTTGATATTATATTTTGTTTTAAATATGTCTCTGGATTATCTTAGCAAGTACACATTTCATGCAGACATGATAGAACTATTGAATAAATTCCCAAAAATGTGTAAAAATTTCCATTAATAACCAAATACCATATATGAGACTTCTTTTTCCTTCATGAATATTTGAATTAGAAGGCCTGAAAGGATGATTGACTGGAAACAGGATTAGCATACACTTCAAGGATAGCATTTGCTCCTAACACACTGAGATTTGAATGCATATCTTACCTTGATCCAAAAAATAAGCCTTCACAGAGAGAAACTCCCATATTACTCAATGTATGATTAAAATCATGAGGAGATTATAATTTGGGTTATGATTTCCAGGATATCCAAAGTTCCTGTCATTTTTAATCCTAATGAAGGTCATTTTGATATTAACTTAATATACATTGCTTTTATTCATCTGATCCACGTGTTTCTCCATTAAACATTGCTTTCATGAATCATTGCATTCCAACAGCCCGTTCGGTCCCATACACATTACTACTACTGGTCTGATTTCTAAATAATCCTTCATGTGTATCGTGTCTGCGTGCGTGTGCTTTTTTTTTCTTTGTTTTTTTTTTGGTGGGTAGTTAAGTGATGTGTGTGTTCGTGCACTATTTATTTTCTTTGTGTGCGTGAATGTATTCTTGCACGAGTTTTTTTAACTGAGAAAATTGTTGACATCAAATCAACCACATAAAAGAAATTGAAAATGAGAGTAGGGAGTGGGGACATAGTGATAGGGCTTCAAATTTGAGGCTCCAAGGATTTGGAACCAGGGCATAACCATCTCTGTCCTTACAAAGATTTTGGATGAAATATCAGCTGAAATAAGGCCACAAAAAGTTTAAATTCTAAGCATAAAAAACAAGAATAAGAGACAAATGTAGAATATAAGGTATCATGCATCAGGAGTGCATGGTGAATGGTTCAACAGCTTGACTATCACCTTTCCCTATGATGTACGGTGAAGATTAACCACAGTTATCAATGATGAACATTCACATGGAGAGGATTTTAATCTTCATGATTTGTTGTTTGATAAGAACACTGGATGCCTTCATGGAAATGTGCTGTTATCTTTTTATTGACTTGAATGCAGAATAACAGCTTTCTTCTACCATCTAGTAATTATAATTTGGATCACTAGTACTTTTACACTACATTTGTACGTGTAACGTATATTTTCCCAAAGATTCATATAGTTAGGGCTTATTTTATCTTATTATTTTATAAGTATAAACTATGGTTAGTTTGGTCTTTTGTTTGTTTTTATGGTTATAACAGGATTTTTTTTTTTGGTTAGTATATAATAGGAAATAACATTAAAAGAAAATCAGTGCTCAGTAGTTTCCAAACTTGTCAACAAATGTGACAAAAAGATGTTTATAAAAGGGAGATGGATATTACTTGCACAATAATGCAAGATTGTTATTTATTTATGTACTTTTTTGAAAAGAAGAAATTTAAGGTTAACTTCTTCAAGTTCATGGAAAAAAGGCATAATCTGGCCCCATTTTTTTATATATTTTTTCTCACCTTCCCCACTTCAAATATATTTCCATTTACATATACATCAAAATAATTTAATTAAGTTTCCAAAGAAATTTCGTCTTAATGGTGAAAGGGACCAAAAAAATTCACTAAACTCTTCAAATCGGCACCCCCCATCGATTTAGATTTGGACACGGTTCCTACGAGTCCATGCAGAAATGCGTCCCCTCTTAAAAAAACTTATTTTTGAGATAGATTTTTTGACCCAAGTTTTAAGTACATATAACCTTTAACATGGAGATTATAAATATAAAAATAATTAAATTTTAAATTTAAAAACAATAATTTTATCACAAAAATATGAACACTTAGTTTCAACTGTTTTTTAAATGGACCAACCATTTGCATCCATATTTAAGACGGTTGCTTATACCTCCGGAGACACAAATGCAGAATGCATCCCCCCACTTTCCTTTAGCGCACCTAGTCGTTCACACCTGCGCTATAAAAGGGGCCAAAGATCATTGCACGTGTGAGGTTAATACGTTGTTCACACGTGCGCTACAAAAGGGAGAAAGAGCATTGGCACGTGTGAGGTTGATTGAGGTGAAGCCCATGCAAAACAACGTAACATCAACCTCGATATTTTCGTTGTGGGGTGTTGCGTTTGGTGGATGAGGGTGACGAAATAAGAGCACCCTTCCTCCCTTTTGCGTGCATGGGGATCCATAATCTCTCTCTCTACGTACACCCGTTGACAAACAGTCACCTACCACGTAGACCCATGTGATGATGTGTCAGTACGGCAGATGGACAGCGTGGCATGTGGGCCCCATCTTGGCTAACTACTTGGTTTGAAGGGGACAAACCAGTGATATTTTTTTTTATGTGGCCATGGAAAAAGAATTAGGGTTTCATAGTGGGTTTCATAGTGGGAAGCAAGTTAGTAATGGGAGTGCATAAATAGGTAGAGAGAGGTTTGGATTTTTATCAGAGCCAGGTGCTTCTTTCTAGAGAGAGAAAATGGGAGGCCTGGTTCTGTAATAGCATTTCTAGTGACAGAGAGAGAAGGAAAAACCTTGTTTAGTGAAGACATGTAAAAGCCAAGAAAAGTGTTGGGTTAGAGGGAAAGGACAATCTCTTTTAGTAATAGAGCCTTTCTAGTGAGAGAAAGAAAAGCGAACCTTTTTTTGGTAATATAGCACGGGTAGTGAGAGAAAATCAAAAGCAAGCCTCTTTCAGTAACATTGTATTTCTAGTGAGAGGAGGACAGCCCTGTAGTTTCTAAGGGGATTGGCACTAGTAAGAATAATGGGAAGGGCACCATGCTGTGATGATAATGGGCTGAAGAAGGGGCCTTGGACACCTGAAGAGGATCAAAAGCTTGTCAATTACATCAAGAAACAAGGACATGGAAGTTGGAGAGCCCTCCCAAAACATGCAGGTAACAAACAATAATCATATATCTTTGTGGTTCAATGTTTATCTATATCACCCTTATAGCTCTTAATGAAAGCTATTTTAATTCTTTGTTCTTTTTATGTTATTGAGGTTGGTTTAAAATTTTTGTTCTCTTTGCTTTTAGAATTGTAAGGATTATTGCTTCCAATCTAGATCTCTAATCTGAAAACCAATTTTTCTCTTGGTATTGGTTCTTTGTTATTCATTTACTAAGTGTATGCTAATATTTTGCAGGTTTGAATAGATGTGGGAAGAGTTGTAGGCTTAGATGGACAAACTACTTGAGGCCTGATATAAAGAGAGGGAAATTCTCCTCAGAGGAAGAGCAAACCATTCTCCATCTCCACTCCATTCTCGGAAACAAGTAATTTTACTTCTCTCTCTCTCTCTCTCTCTCTCTCTCTCTACACACACACACACACACACACACACACACACACTACTACGTTACTTACGTTACGTTACGTTACGTTACGTTACGTTACGTTACGTTACGTTACGTTACGTTACG